CGACCCGGCTTGGCAGGATAAGCCCATGTATGTTTTGTCCCCAGCCGTTGGCTGGTGCTTCTGTGTGAGTGGAAGATGATGAAATCAGACATGCTGCATCCACTTCCCAGGACAGGGCCTGCCCGCTCCCCTCCCCACGGAGGGGCCCAGCCGTTGGCTGGTGCTTCTGTGTGAGTGGAAGATGATGAAATCAGACATGCTGCATCCACTTCCCAGGACAGGGCCTGCCCGCTCCAGTCCCCACGGAGGAGCACCCACTGTGCACATATCATAACTCTAAATGCTGCCGCCCCTGTGCCTCAGCCTTGATCCCTGCTGGAGGAATCAGAAGCCTGACCCTGCAGCAGCGTGCTTGCTGGAGCAGCCCGGCTTGCCCACCCCTGCGTGATCTGCTTGCCAGCAGAGCTGCACTGCTTTCAGCTCCGCTTCAGCATGGCCTCCGCTTCACAGCTGCTTGCAGATTGCGCTAGGGAAAGGTTGCTACTTCAGCCCTGGGCGCGCCGGGGCAGCATGCGTCCCGAGTCGTTCAGCAGCCGAGGGTGTGAATTCCCAGCCGTGGGGAGGAGGGAAGAGCCCCTCCTGCCTGTTTCAGGTTGAGATCTTTTCACTCAGACGTGGCTTTCTAACCGAAGTCCTTTTTTGTTGGTGTTTGTAATTTAAGGACCTTTTGTACTTAGTTGAAGTTAACTCAAACAGCATTTAAAAACAAGTCCTTTACATTTTAACTGTAACTGTTTCTCTGCCTTAAGGCTGAAATGTATCGTTTAACATATCGGTCGTGGGACTGAAATTCTAGACCTAACAACACTGTGATGGCTTCTTTTGTTTTTGTTCCTGTTCTTTGGAGTGCGCCGTTGTAACCAACATTGTATTGACTTGGTGGAGATGAGAATACATTTTAGAACGTAACGAAGGCTCCGGGTCTGTGTTTCGCGCTGCTTCACGGAGCTACTGTCTGGAAGGGCGCTTGTCCCATCATACGACTTCTGAAACCCTTGGAAAACAAGGGCATTACAACCGCCCCCCTTTCTACCTCCCCAGGTTTCTAGCCCTGTTGGAGAACCGAGTCCCTTTCTTACCCTATAATGAAGCTCCCTACACGCTCCTCTAGCAGCTGCTACCCCCTCCCTCCAGAATTTGAACCCTCCTCCCCTCTGCTTCCTGCTTTAAAGATCAGCAGAACGAAGTGCAGCTTCCCGCCGGTTTTATGTCTGACGCCCAAGGGGTTACCAACCAAGACTGTTCCGAGGGGCGTGGAACAGCTGCTGCGTAGGTGGCTCCGAGCAGGCCGCTCGCTCGCACAGCGCTCGGTACGAGTGGAACTACACGGCGTCCTGCACTGTACCGCTGCTAGGGCTTTGTCTGCATCTGGTGCCCGTGGGACCTGGCTCTGGCTGGGATCGTTTTATGTCTGACGCCCAAGGGGTTACCAACCAAGACTGTTCCGAGGGGCGTGGAACAGCTGCTGCGTAGGTGGCTCCGAGCAGGCCGCTCGCTCGCACAGCGCTCGGTACGAGTGGAACTACACGGCGTCCTGCACTGTACCGCTGCTAGGGCTTTGTCTGCATCTGGTGCCCGTGGGACCTGGCTCTGGCTGGGATCGCGGATAAGTGGGTCACGGGGGCCAGCTCTCCTTTTCCACGGAGGCCACGGCTGTAGCAGCTAATGGAACACGCCTGCGGTCCTCGTGTCCATAACACGCCCCTGGAGCAAGATGCTTCACCTCCGACTCTGGGGGGTGAGATCCCTTCTCTGCCTGCCAGCAGGGGGCGGTGTGCACACGCAGAGAATATTGTAGCCCAGGGTCTCCAACCTTTTGAAGCACGTGACCGCTTCAAGTGCGATCCAGGATTGACCTCAAACCCAAACCCCCTGGCCCCACCCTCTTCCTGCCCCTTCTCCCAGGCCCCGCTCCCTCCATCTTCATTCACTTTTGTCAGGCAGTGGGGCTGACGTACAGGGGAGGGGGGAGCAGGCTCTGATCTCGGGCTAAAGAATTTGGAGTGTGGGAGGGGCTCTGAGTTGAGCCTGGGGCAGTGGTTCGGGGTGCAGGGGGGACTC